CGCCTGCGCGACCTTATTGCTTTGCCGCACAAGCAAGTCCACAAAGTACGCGTTGTGAAGGCAGGACGTTGTGGTCTCGAGCTCCCTCATGAGTGCCTCTCCCAAACCAAGGCGACGAAACGTTGGCGCGACTGTGACTGCGGACACGTGCCCGTGGAAATCCTCGCCTCTTCCCTCGGCCTTGCCGAGTGTGTACGCCATGCAAATGCCCGTCGTCGGGTGAACACACATGCGCTGATACTCGGGCCAGTGCGTGACGTACTCGCCGTAGAACGCGGTGCTGTAGGTCTCCGTTAACTGTTCCAGGTTGACAAAGCTGAAGCCCATGCCGTCCGTGGGTTTGAGGTCCCGGGTAATGCTGTCACCGGCTCACTGTCCCCGCCCCCCGTTGCGGAGGGAGCTGAGAAGCAGCCGTGGGCGATTGTTTGCGGGCATTTAAATATATATATATATATTTTAAAAGAAAAAACGCACTGAGAAAGGCACACGCGCAGCAAACCCGTCATTGGGTGCCCCGGCAGCTGACCCCATGCAAGACAATAATTAATAGTAATAAGTATTAAGTATGCATAATAATAGCCAGGCTCGTGCGCCCTCGCTTAGTGAGTTCGCTCGCTGCACGCCGTGCCACTCCCGGCGTTGGCACCCGTCCCTTTTTCGGCAGCACGGCAGGTCACGGAGGGAGGCTGCTGCAGCCGCAGGGGTATACGTTATCGCCGATCCTCGTGATTGCGCCTCCGCTTACCTCACACACGCACGAAAGGACGCGGATTCAAAAAGGCAACGCGTGGGGGAATCACTCAGCGGTGGCCCGTGGGCACCCTCCCCGTGGCGGGGGCTCCAGACCGCGGATTCGGGCGGCCGCGACAAAGCCCGCCCAGCGACGGAGACGACGGGCACGGCTCACTCGATGCCGCGGAGAACGCACCGCTGCCAATCCGTGGCCGACGAGAGGTCAAGAAGTTTCGTCGACACGACGTTCTCCTGCTGGCGAAGGTTCATGAGAAAGTGGTAGAGCAGCAGGGGAGCGACGGTCCTGGGGGTGGGCTCGGCCGCGCCCAGGCCCCGCAGGCGCATCTCCTCCAGCAACGACGTCGCCGCGGCGTCGGGCATCTCGCACATGACAATCGCATCGAAGTATCGAAGGTCATTGCAGACGTTGAAGCTCGCCCCGTGCATGGACACCCAGCTCCCCAGTTGGAGACCAATAGAGCCAAGCTTCCGCGGGGCGGCGTCGCGCCAGCGGTCGGCCCACACCCCAACCTTCCCACGGTGGGTCGGGACGCCGTAGTCCTTCGCGGTGTCTATCATGGCCTGCTCCAGGACAGAGCTGTACCACTCTATGGGCGAGCGCGCCTTCTCCGACGAGCTGCAGTGCTTCCACAGCAGCTGAATGTTGGCGATCGGGTACATTGTCACCTGCCCTGGGCCGTGGAAGGTCACACCGCCTCCCCGCCGCGTCTTCACCACCTCCAGCGCACACCCGGCGGGGATCCCTGCGGCGGTATCCCGCCTCCCCACAGTGTACACCGGTGCATCGTGCTCCACCAGCAGCACCGTGTCGGGGATGGCGCTCTCGTTTGAACCCTCGCGAAGTCGTCTCAGTTGCCTTTCAATTTTCTTTTGAAAGATGACCTCCTGCAGCCGGAGCACGTCCCGGTAATTCCGACTACCTAAGAAATACGCCCGCATACGCCTTGCACTCTCTAGCAAAGCCAAAAGAACCTTGAATAAAAGGGCCAACAAGAGCATGGAGCAAAAAGCCAACAGCCACACACAAAAGCGCACTACATAAAATAGCAAGAAGGGTGTAAAAGGCACTTCCGATAAGCTCCGGATATCTCGGCAGCCGCAAAAGCGTCAATCCATTTCGACTTTTTTGGCCCTTTACATTGCAATACATACAGTCAGTTCCTCTTGTGGTTGTTCTTGCTGCATCCAAGAACATGAGGTTCAGTTCGCCTACTTTTAGGGCAGAAAATCTCCTGCAGCTGCTCAAAGCTCCGCTTCCGCGGCGTGGTGATCACTGGAAGCGCCCTTGGCAACGTCCCCCTCAGAAAGTTCGTCCCCATGAACTGGCGCATGCTCCGCGGCGGGGGTCTCGTGCTCTGGCGCGTGCTCCGCGGCGGGGGTCTCGTGCTCTGGCGCGTGCTCCGCGGCGGGGGTCTCGTGCTCTGGCGCGTGCTCCGCGGCGGGGGTCTCGTGCTCTGGCGCGTGCTCCGCGACGGGGGCCTCGTGCTCTGGCGCGTGCTCCGCGACGGGGGCCTCGTGCT